TAGCTGGAGGAAGAAGCACTGCAGCAGATACTAGTACCGTTCCCCAGGGGAAATATCCAAATCGTGTTCTTAAACGCGTCACCACCCTCTTCAACCCTCGAAAAAGAACTTTGTCCAAGAACGCCAGCCCCGTGGGCAGCCACGGAGCAGTCGGATTCATTCGTGATGCCGCTGCAGCATATCCCCGGCCGTCTAGTGATTCCTCCACTGCATCACCAGACGAAATCAGGAGACCCAGTGGCCTGGGACGCAGGGCCAGTTTAATGGAGCCTTTACCGTTACACGGTGAAAGTATCGATCTAGAGCGGTCAAATGGAAATGGAGGTGAGGCAAGATTGCTCAAGTCTTTGTCCAATTTACTGAATATTCCGTCACATTCATTCCGTCCACGATTGCTTGCAGAACACACAACACACACAGGTGTCACGATTCAGAGCCTTCCTGTGGAGCTGTTAGAGACAATTCTGTCTTTCTTGCCCAAGTTCGATTTACCGCGCATTGCCCTTGTTTCGGCTCAGCTCTGCAATGCCTCGCGTAACACATTATATCGGACACTCGACTTCCAATCAATATCAGAGCCACAAGTTCAAAAGCTTTGTAAAATCCTTGCCACCCATGCCTCTCTCGCTACGAGGGTTCAATCTTTCTCATGTCACTTCTGGCCAGCATCTGAGGGTCATCTCACACCATCTCTTGATCTCACGACTGCGTTGCATAATATGTCAAACTTGGAATATCTTACGCTTCGAACATTTCTTTTGGTATTTTCGCAATCGCCTCCTCTTTCTTTCCGGTTGAAGACACTGGTCATCCTTGATGACACAATTTCTGAGGAGCAATTCATCGACATTCTACATTTCCTCAGAAATCAATCCTCCCTACAATATCTAGCCTTTCCCAATGTCGTCGAGAACGCTTCACCCGAATCTTCCTTCCATCAACACGTATTCGTATCTGGTCTAGCACGGGAGATGTTACCATCGCTCTCTCAACTGCATGCTCCTCCACGACTGACGATGGCAATATGCTCCTTACTGGGACAAACACTTGAAACCGTTGTTTTGGATGTCACCACCACGCTGTACACGGGGTTGCGGCCTGCCGCACTCCTCCGTGCAATTCAAGGCGTCTCCAAACTGGATGTGGTCTTCACTCACGAGGTGGACAAACGAACAGTTGAAAAATTCTTGGGTGCTGCCGGTGGAATTTTGTCAGGTAGCGACGCTGCCAATAGCCGCGGCCTCATGGCTTTGGAGGTAGAGGTGCTTTGGATGGAAGATGACACCGCCGAGGTCAGTGATATCTTCTGGATTCAAAAATCATTGATTTTGACGCTTTGCTCGAAGATATTATATGGCATCATTGATGCAGTTATCTCGCGTTTTAATGGGTTGCGCACGCTCAAGGTCACCACACCATTTCGCTCCAGACAGTCACGACAGTTGACGCCCCCATTATCTGGCTCTCTGCAACTGTCAGTGCCATCATCCCCTACCCCCACAACGCCCCCGCTCAGCATTTCCTCGATGTCGATTACTTCACCTGTGGGAGTTGTCCTATCGAGCGACTTTGTGAGCTCGGGCACAGAGAAGACACATGCCAAAATATGGACGAACGCTTGCTCTACGTTGAGCGACATCCAATTTTGTTTTCCGGATCCATCGCCCGAGGCAGACATTGGACTGTGTGGAGTCTGGTTCCGCAGAAAAGAGTGACGGTCGAGCGCTGGCCCTCTCCCAGGATACAGCAGAGGAGAACTGGCTTCGTCCAGCGCTTCCGGCCCTCTGCTGTATGCATTGCTGCATTTTACTTCGTTTCGTCGAGCTCAATAAACTTTGGAATCTTGAAAGTCAAGCTTTCAAGTGTTGCCACGTCAGGATATAAGTAACATAAGGTATATATAGTGATATGCAAGATATATGTATGTAAAAATCAAACGGCTAGATATCAAAAGTCTACCTTGGTGTTCAAACCGCGTCGACCATGATCGCATCTAGCTATCGTGTAATCTCTTCCATCAATCCGTGCGAAGACGCTTCTTGGCACTTCCGTTCACATGACCATTGCTGGGCGCATCGTCCACTGTCGAGAAATAGTCTATAGATCCTTTGGGGTCTGGCTTGATGGTTTTAGCACCCTCAGTCCAGCCCAAAGGGCAGACCTCCCCATGTTCCTCCTGCAAAAGATGCAGTGAAACGTTACAATATGCAAAGAAAAATTCGTACCACAAATTGGAAGGCTTTGAGAAGACGGACGGTCTCATCTACAGATCGACCAACGGGCAGATCATTAACGGTAATTTGCCTATTCAAAAGCGCCGGTTACCAAACTAGTCCACGATTCACACAAACACCCACCTGACGATTCCCTTGGGGTCAATGATGAACAAACCACGCAGTGCAATGCCTTCCTCCTCGATGAGGACACCATAGTCCTTGGATATTGTCATGTTCCTGTCCGCAACCAAAGGTAGCTTGAGGTCGGGTCCAATGCCACCCTGCTTCCTCGGTTGCTGTGCCCACGCAAAATGGGAATACTGAGAATCCGTAGAAACGCCTAAAAAAAACCCATCAGAACGCGTCTAATGAACCACGAAAATAATCCCGAACTAACCGAGAACGGAGGCATTCAGCGCTTTGAATTGAGGAAGCGCATCGTTGAAAGCCAAGATCTCAGTCGGACAAACGAACGTGAAATCCCTGTTAGCGTGACGAAAATAATAGTGAGAAACATTATGCTTGAGGAGAACTTGCATTATCCTCACATTGGGTAGAAGAAAAGAATCACCCTTGTAATAAGCTAATGTTAGCCGCTCCTCTCACGAATGTCTGGCGCGTAAGACGCGTACCATTGACCCAAGTATTCGGACAGGGAGACCTCCTTGAATTCACCCTCTACAACTGCGGTAGCTGTGAAGGCTGGTGCTGGGCGCTGAACGAAGACGGCCATTGTTGTGAAGTTGAGTTGTGAATTCAGAGAAGAGGCGAATTATCCAAGTGGTGTCAGTTGCTATGAAGATTTTAAATCCAATTAACCACCGCGTTATGTGTCCTTGTTTGGCTAGTCCATGGACCTGTTAAATGAAGACGGAGACAGAATGAAATACTTATGACCTCACACTAGCAAGGGGACCTAGTGTCATAATATTGTCAATGTAGATCTGTCATGGGCATCAGGAAAACGGCGAAGTGCGAAGCTCCTACTTCAATGATGCCATTCATTTCCTAATTGCAACATTGATCAATTTGTATTCCAAATCGCACAAATAAAAGATAAGCAGCGAGAGAACCCGAATGTATTCACAAAAGATCTCAACTCTGGTGGATAATCTACGATCATCTAAGAGCAAACTCCCTGAAACGGTTCAGAGAGTCCTGTGTACCTGCACATTGAGGGCTGCTAGCTTGGATGGAGTAGGCCTCTGGAATTAGTTCCTCGAGATGCTGAAGGAAAGATGAAACCATGAATTTCAAAGTAGAAACACTACACTGACTTTGATTCTCCGCTCCGCACCAGGGTGCGTGCGCAAGAATTCCAAACTTGTTGCTCCATGGGCCTTTTCATATTGTGCGAGTCGCGCATGCATTCTGTGATGTCACGCACATAAGTCAGAAAGTGGAAAACCCAGATCACTCACTCCACAGCAGCCTGGGGGTCGAAACATGCCTTTGCAGTGAGCTGCATGCCGATAGTATCGGCTATATCCATGACGTCAGCATCTCCATGTTTATAGCTGGAAGAAACATACCCTCGTATTCTTGAGTCCGCGAATTGGGTAGCTCCAGTAGCAACGTGCTTATGAGGTTGGTGATTCCAAAATCGAACCCGAAGACAGTTTGCAGAAGAACTGCTAACGCTAGGAATACTTTAGAGGACGAATAGCGTTCGGAAGCATGTCGAGCAACTGGTAAAGGGAGGTTAGAATTTGCATGCGTGTTGTATCATGCCAACATACCCACGTGGGCGATCTCTGCCGAATTATTTGAGTTGCGCAGACTATCCTTTGCGGAATTGCATACCATGTCCAAGAACACCCGCTAAACCCTGTTCATCCTTGCATATAGGTAAAATTCCCGTGAACACCACGATATTTCCTGTGACCACATATATGTAAAGGTTCACTTGCAGAGGCAGTTCGAGAGCGAACCGAAGGTGGCCATGGCGTTTACAATGGATGGATCATTCACAACGAGCAGATTCCATTCTTTACCTCCGCTTTCGGGGGTAGACGACTCCCCAGGTCTTCCGGTGGTGAACGGGTCTTCGCTCCAGAAGTCATCTGGTGCCCCCACTAGTGACCGGCTAGGCTCACTAGAGCTCAAGTGGCCAAGGTCCGATGATTCAAGAATACGATTGACAACTCGTTGGACGTGTCGTGTTACAGGATGATCGGAAGGTAGTATCTTGCCTCGGAATTCAGCCAAGAGCTCGTTATACGCCGCCTGTGCAAGCTGCAAGGGGGCAAAAATGAGAGTTTGTTCCTTCAGGCTAAGCTTGCTCTCACATTTGTCTCGTACTTGGGACTTATATCCATAAATCGCCACCTACCTGTTCCAGGGACTTGTTCTAAACTTGAGGGGTAAAGTGAGACATAACATCACAAGTAATGGGCTGAACACGTACTGCACGACATAATATGTTCCTCCGAGTGCAGCAACTGCAATAACAATCTTCATGCGATTATCTATCACATCTCCTGACGGGTGGCGTTGATTTTCGGACGAAAAGCGTGTATACTGAGCATGTCGGGGAGATGATGTCGAGAGTTGGCGGAGGGGAACTGAACGAAGATTGGATGTCGGTAGTCGAACTCGTGGATAATTTCTAGCAAGGACTGGCAGGTACCGAGCACTACACGACGCCCGCAGGATAGGTGCTGTTGTCGTCCACATGCGAGTAGGGAACATCACGAATTGCGAGCCTTTTACTAATATTAATTGGAAGCTTGTCCGTGTACTTGCATACAGGACTGATAAATTAACCAGGGCCCCATAATTTAATCGGATATGGTGTAATGGTTAACATTACCGCCTCTCATAACTCAAGGTTCGCGGTAGCTCGGGGTTCGATTCCCCGTATCCGAATGTTTTTGTATTTCAACTCAGTGCTGGTGATTGATGGTGGTGGTCAGGACCTCAGAGGTATAAGAGCCTCAACACCTGTGCTGGGTTTGCCAGACGTGTTGAAAGCCGTTCGCAATGCTCGAGCCTCCCATCTCGGCGCCGCATGATCGGCAAAATGTGCGCGTTTATGGCTCGGGGAGCGTGATTGAAAATGACTGTCTGAAGACATACTAGTACATGTAGATGGGTGAAACAATAATGGGAGGTGCAGATATGCTGCGCTTTGCTTATTTGCGATATCTGCACTTGATCCGCGTACCCTCCTCGAATGATTTGCCGATAGCTCTATTCTACCTCACTTATATCCCTAAGAGAGTCAAACCAAAGCAATCCTATTCATCAACGCACGCATACGCAACAAAAGAGACAGAACAAAACGTAGTACATAACACTTTCCATAGCTCAGCATCAGCATACCTCCGCAAGCTCACGGTAGTACCTAGTGGCGAAAACTAGACAACTGGTTGGAGATCAGCGACACGGGTAAATTCCCACTGCTGGCGGGAAGTTCCTGAGACGTGATTCTCGAGCTTCGCCTGCAAACGTTATGAGCAAAAGGCTTTGAAAAAAAATCCACCAACTTACATCATAGTGCGTCGCACTTGGAATGGATATCACCAGGTTCAGGTCCCCGAGAGTGTAGCTAATGCTGTACATTTGAGTCGTTAAATTAGCAAAAACAAGATGCTGAGCACTGAGTCGGATTCTCACGTATAAGTATCATCCTCGCGTGGAACAAGATCAACGATAAACGCCTGCCTGGTGTAAACGACTGGTTCATCCGAATCCTGCGCACGTCTACATCAACCAACAAGCAAATGAATGAATGCCGGTCTAGCATACCTGGGTCGCAGCAGCAAAGAATCCATTTCCATTGCTGCCGTTGATGCTGGACTGAATGGTGACAGTCTTGGTGGAGGCCACTGGCCCGTATTGTTGCTTGACCACCCACTGGTAGATGTGATGCGTAAGAACTAGTCAAAAGGTGGGCACAAACGCATATAGATACCTGTTGAGCCACGCTGCCATTGTTGTGTCAGACTTGAATGGTGTTGCCTTCAGTGGTTTGGAAGTCCCTCAGATCAAGCAAGAGGTCTCTGCCAACGTTTCGGATAGTATACACTCCATCGGTGGAAAAGAGCATTGTATAAGATGTAGGTTGCGAGCGGTGTGATGATTCGATAGTGAGACGAAGAATTGACAAAGGAAAAAGCAGAGAATGTTGGGGCTTTTATACGAAGTATCTTGGGCTATTTTCGACAGATGGGGCGGCAATAACACTAGTCTTGTGGACCAGTGGCCTTGTCTGAGAAGGGAATGCAAGTCAGTGTGACAAGGCGTGCGTCTAAAAAGTCCTATCACATGAACGCGTTGTATCATCCCCTCGGAGCACATAGAGGCGAAAATATCTTGTTTAGATTGCGAGAGAGGGCAAAGTATTAGGAGAATTCTTGCGACCGTCTCGCGGGAAAGATGTTTCCGAGATTTGGGGCAGGTGGTATTTCAGGTGAGAGCCCAAGACATAGCACGAATTTTGTGCAAGCTGCTGGAGCAGGAGGGTTCAATAAGAGCCTCACCTATAATAAGTATTAACAGTTCGCTGCTCAACTTGTCCGTAGTACTAGTGTATAGGTCAAACCAGTCACGAGCCTAATTAGACAATTGCTCTGGCTTACATAAGAATAGTAGGAGAGATGAGACTTACATGCACGAGCATCATGTCCTGACCGGTACAAGTTCTGGCTTACAGTAGGAGATGAGACTTAAGTACATGCACGAGCATCATGTCCTGACCGGTACAAGTTCTGGCTTACAGTAGGAGATGAGACTTACATGCACGAGCATCATGTCCTGGCCGTCACGTAAAAGTCACTAAACCCAACCCTACGGCTCAGAACAGTACTATCCCTTACGGTCACTTCGTGAGCCACCGCAACTCCGTGAGTCACGCAGATGTCACATATAGTCACTGACGGTCACTCTGGCCAAATTCAGAGTCCGCTCGGTGTGCTCGACTCAACATCGAAACTCGAACTTACCATGCAATTATTAGATGCTACTAATACTATGTCGCAAGTTACAGTATGTCCGAATTATATGTGTATAGCAGTGATTAATGTTAAGGGGGATATCGTTGAGTGAAATATGGATGTGGGTATTGATACATGGGAGAATTGTGACTCGGAGCAGGCCACTGTCTAGAAATATATGATGGGTGTGAAGGATGCATGAAAAATAGTGATGGTGGGTGTCCAGGATGAGAGGAGCTTGATATTGAAACATCTGCAAGTGCTGCCTGGATCCGTGACTCATACTCGGGGTCAGTAGATGCTGCTAGCTTCCCCCGGCGACATCCCATGGCATAGCAATGAATATTTGAATCCCAGCTTGTAACAATCACGAAGGTGAGCGTTCTCGGTAAATTCAATGTCCGATATCGGCAGTGTCGGCAGGTGACACCAGTCCGTGACTTTTCCTGGTGTCACGTAGAAAATACTATCTCTATCATTTCTTTATGAAATTGCTTCGTTTCACTTGGAATAGGATATGGGAATATGTTGAATGTATTCAGTGAAGTAGCTAAGTGATTGGTGTAAATTTGAGGTCTGTAGTTGAAAATCACGAAGTAGTGGTGGGTCACGAAGTGATCGTAGGGCATAGTACGGCCCAAAGTACGGCGGGTATTCCCGTCCTACGGCAGTTTAGTCGGAGTTGGAAACTACCTGACGTGCATATGTCAATAATATTAATATTGTTAGTTATCTGATATCATTTGGGTTGCCTGTTCTCGCTGCGATACCTCTCATCCTCCCTGTGATACCCACACATGCTCGTTTCCCTGGTATCAATATTTGCGACGTGCATTGCCTGTTCCCGCTGTGATATTTCTCATTCTCCTTGTGATACCTGCTGCATACACTCGTTTCCCTCATATCAGTAGGGTTAGGGCTGGTCGGAACTCAAAGTTCAAAATCCGACTGCTAGTCACCAGGCTATACTGTCATATTTATGCATAATCATGGCTGGTAAGAGACACTATGGTTATGTATGGTTGACACTTACCCTCGACTGTCGTTGCCTTTATGCATAACAGGTCCCATGATGCATAATGCTGTCAAGATCCTTGGGTGGCTCGTTTTGGTGGTTCTGATCATGGATCTAGCTTCTCGACCTGCAAATCTGGCCTTTTGGACCCTCATTCGGATGGAACCATTGGGCCTTCTCTCTTCTCCCATCGTCTGGTTCTTCTCGACCCAAATTTGTCCACCCGCTGGTTCATACCATCACGTGCCGTTTGACTTGCTAGATTTTTCTAAGTCCATCTGTCAGAAATTTCAACGTGCAAAATTTCGGTCTTGCGGCTTCATTGGTGCGTTCAATCTGGGTGTCCCACTTTGTATAATGATTAATCGTGATTCATTAAGATTGTTTCAATAGATACATGATGGTGCAATGACGAGTAGTACTACTAGGTAAGATAGATATCAATAATGTACTTTGAACTCGGCCAATCTACTTCGATCTCCTGCTTGAACACATGTTAGGCGAGCAAACACAGAAAAAGAGACTCGCACTTCTTTGGTGGCCCGCTTGCAATGACAGGTCCAGCAGCCCTCGCTCGCTTCATATGACTTTGGCCAATGTTGTTGGCCTGTGTGAGTCGTGTTGTTTCTGTGCGAACGCGCCCGGTCTTTCTGATTGCTGGAGGAACATCTGCGGCTGCATCAACTGTTGCCGCAACGCGGGCAACGCATCTACTCTTCTTGACCACTGGAGGAACCACCGCGTCAACAGTGACAATTGCCGGAGCAAGATCCGAATGGTCACTGCAATTTTCGGTGGTCAGCTCTCCATCAATCGGTGACTCGGCATCTGCCAAATGATGGTCAGTGGTTGGTGTCGTGTGCTGTAGGATATTGGGGGTTTCAATCGTCACTGCTGTATTGGCTGGAGATTCCGCGCCAAATCGGTCAGTCGTAGGATGTGGGACTTCTAAAGAAGAGCCGGCTGGGACGGAAAGCAATGGGAAGTTAAATTTTGGAGAGGCGACGAAAGGCGGCAAAGAGTAGTTCTGTCCATAATGTGCGTCTTGATTCCACGATAACATTGGTGATGATGGTGAGCTGAGATAATCACCAAGACGCGAGGATGGCATCAAGTCAGATGGATAGAATCCAGAGCTGGTTGAAGTTGAGGCGACTCTGTCTTCATTCATGTCGAAGGCTGGTAAGTGGACGTAATTGCTACCTCCGGACGAACTAGAGAAGCCCGATAACTTGAACCCCATGTGATCGCTACTTCCGTCAAAGTCGTCCGTAGTGTTGAAAGATAGTAGCGTGTCTGGCAGTAAGGCCTCTGGGACAGAGAGACGACCAGGGTGAACGGGTTCAATGGGAGCTGGAGGTGATGGGAGCTGGATTCCTGGCTGAGGCAGTTGTTTGGCTGCAAGCAGCACTGTATCTTCTTGAGAGGGTGTTGGGGGGACATAGCTGAGTGCACGCGTCTTCCTTGTGGATTCCGCTTTGTTACTAATCAGCGTGCATCATTTATGGATGAGGGAAGTGCACCTTACGAAAAAGATGCGAGACGAAGGCAGCAAATGGTTTAAGGTGTCATTCATTGAAATCGGGAGTCGCTTGCATCCAGTTCTGACCGTGTTCATTGACTCCAGTATGAAAACTTGGAAAAAAAGAAAAAGTCAGTATCTAACATGGTTGTACAATCCATGCCACGACTCACCTGGTGACGTTAATGTCGCCGTTATAGCGAGGGTCAGGTCCTGCACCCATAATCGTCCAGTGGAATCCCGTCATCTCATGTATTGCCTGCAGAAAATGTGCGATGGGACCCGTACACTCCTCAAGGGCCCTAAGATATGATAAGTCAAATTTACGCTAGCTATCAAATATTAACAACCACTTACTTTGCTAGCTCTGCGTTTGTCCTTTCTTCAGATGCAC